ACTTTCGACGGGATACCCCTGTGCGTGCGCGAAAAAGGCGATCGTTAATGTGTTTACTTTGAAAGCAGGTCCAAACGGGCTCTCCCTTTCTTTATTCCGCTTATGTAATATCTCAGGGAGCCTTCTCGGGATTCGGGCTAAGGAGTGCACTATGGAAACGAAAACTACTTGTAAAGCAGCAATTCTCAAACATCCCTCGAGCGTTTTTGACCGGATATTTTTACGCAAAGCAGCTGAAGTTTATACCCAGAGCTTTATACTACCGTTTAAGAAACAATAGCAAAGAAAGTTCGAAGGAAGGAATATATAATTGTCGTAAATTAAAAAAAAAAAAAAAAAAATAGTAACAGATTAATACAAATGCCAATTGTCGGTTTTTTTTAATAGAAAATCTTCAAGATATTTTTGACAGTTAATTTTATACGCGTGTGCGTTTAATAAAAATTTATCGTGCTTATAATTTCTCATTTCTCGATCTATCTGAAACATATCTATTCCTTCCCCCTCCATATCGTTGTATATTGACTTCTCCCCTCGACTATGTACACCCTAAAAGTTTGTCAACGTCGCGCCAGCCCTTTGCTCCGACGAAATGTCACGTGATCGAAATGTCAGCAATACTCTTGGCGTTGTTGAGAGTGACTGAGGATATCTAGGGACAACCGGACCTTGCTCGTCCAAAATTTCTTAGTTATGGGGATGAATATGCATTAAAATATCGATACAGAATGTTATTCTATCGAATTTAACTCAATTTTATCAATCATTAAGAAACAAGTTTGGATTTATAATTAAATACTAATTTATTGTTTTATTTCAGAATTTGTTGTTTTCACATATTAATAGGAAATTGTTTATTAAAATTGATTTATTCTAATATCCGCATTAGAGAGTTGAAAAAAGGAATACATACGAAAAGTTACTGTTATAGCTCTAAAATATTACAAATCGATATCGAAACTAGTTGATGATTATGGATGCTTTGATATGAAATATAACTACACAAGAATTAAAATGATTAAAAGTAAGAAGTTAGCAATAACATCTTGATATCGGAAAGTTCTTTGAATTAATTATTCCTCAAGTATCCTTATTTTAAATTTATCACTATAAAATTTCTTACTTTTCCATATTAATAGGAAATTAAAACCAGCTATTATACTAATATCCACGTTGATAGAAAAAAAAATAGAAAAATATATTGGGAAATTTATTACATTCAATCACTTTAAAATATCGCAAATAAATACTAGAGATCATCCCATTCGACAAGTTCGTAATAAAATAAAAGCGAGATAATAGATCTCTACATTTTAAAAAAAGTGTAATGTGAATATCCATTATTGTCATTAGTTATCTCGCTCGAAAACCACATTGGGATATCGTCGTTAGGAAGCCGTGTCTCAAGATGCCGATGAAATCATCCGCTCCTTGTACCTGCATTATGTCCGCAGTCGCCGCGTCTCTCCCGTAGCCTGTAGCAATTACGAATGCCTTTGCGAAATTTCACGTATCTCGCACAATCTTCCGAGCAAAGGCGAGCGTTTTCTTCGTGGCAGCCGAACAATTTCGCAACCGCCTAACCGCCGCGTTCTACGAGCGTGCTTATTCTCGGCTACCACTCGAGGTGGTATTTCTCGCGCTGGTCCTCCGTTAGATCTGTCCGCAGTTAATAATGGCACGACTGTTTGATTTAACGGCGTCATTAGGGACCGCGCCTCTGTCTCTCTCTCTCTCTCTCTCTCTCT